CTCTAAAAGATCAATGGAAAAATATCCTCAGGTGAGGATGAACAACAACAACAAAAAATCTTGCCCAGCCAGTATGTCTCAGTGGTTGAACACTGATCTGTGAACCAGGAGATTACAGTTAGATTCCCTGTCAGGGCTCAGGTTGCAGGCTTGATCCCCAATAGGGGGCATGCAGAAGGCAGCTGATAAATGATTCTCATCATTGACGTTTCTATTTCTCTCTCCCTCTCTGAAATCAATAAAAATATATTTTAGCCTTAACCGGTTTGGCTCAGTGGATAGAGTGTCAGCCTGCAGACTGAAGGGTCCCAGGTTCGATTCAAGTCAAGGGCATGTACCTTGGTTGTGGGCACATCCCCAGTAGGGGGTATGCAGGAGGCAGCTGATCGATGTTTCTCTCTCATTGATGTTTCTAATTCTCTATCCCTCTTCCTTCCTCTCTGTAAAAGATCATTAAAATATATTAAATAAATATATATATATTTTTAAATCTTATTTTATTTTTAAAAAGGAGGAGAGTTGAGGAAGAACCAGCAAAAGAGAGAGAGAGACAGGAGGAAATCTATGAGCCACATGAGAAGGTGCTGGAGAAGGCAGTAATCAAGTATGTCAAATGCTGCTGGTGGTTGAGTAAAATGAGGACTGGCCAACTGGAAGTCACTGCTGGCTTGATGAGCAGTTTCCCTTTTGCTGGGGGCAAAAGCCTAAGTGTAGTGGGTTTAAGAAGAAAGAGGAGGGGATTGGAAATGACTAGTACAGACGGCTCATATAAGGAGTTTTGCTATAAGGAATCAACAACAAAGACATAGAGTGATGAGGGGGGAGTGTAGTAGATTCAAGAAATTTTGTTTTAAGACAAGATAAATAAAAGCATATTTATACTGGTGGGAATGATTAAATGGAAAGGGAAAACAAATGATGACATGGGACCTAGTGGCTGGTTAACCATAACTGGGAGTATGATGAGTTCATTCCTAGTAACTGGAGGGAGAGCAGAGCAAAGTGTGGTGGGTAGATAGGAGCTCTTAGAGCAGCGGTTCTCAGCCTATGGGTCGTGACCCCTTTGGGGGTCAGACGACCCTTTCACAGGGGTCACCTAAGACCATCGGAAAACACATATATAATTACATATTGTTTTTGTGATTAATCACTATGCTGTAATTATGTTCAATCTGTAACAATGAAAATACATCCTGCATATCAGATATTTACATTACGATTCATAACAGCAGCAAAATTACAGTTATGAAGTAGCAACGAAAATAATGTTATGGTTGGGGGTCACCACAACATGAGGAACTGCATTAAAGGGTCGCGGCATTAGGAAGGTTGAGAACCACCGTCTTAGAGTATCATCTGATGGCTTCTGTTTTCTCAATTGGGAAACAAGGCAGTGAGCTGAGAGTGAGGACGGGGGGAGCGCTGGATGGGTGAGGAGAGAGGTGAAGATTTAATAGTCACCTAGGGGTGTGGGAGAGTAAATGGACTAGGGAATCTGGTCTGAGCGCTGGGCAGCATTAAGGACCCACTTATGTTTCCTGATTATGAATTTGAAATGAGACTGGCAGCCGTAGGTGAGTGTTTTCACCAGCTACATTCAGCTGCTTGGGCAGGATCAGGGTAGATGAAAAATTGTGTTTACCAGGACTGTGGTTTTGCCAGGAGGTGTAACTAAGTGAGAGAGAGGCAAGGGAGTGCTTTTCACTGACTGTGACCTTTAAGCTGGGTAAAAAAGGAAGTGAGTGGGAGACAGTAGAAAGAAGGCAGGATCAATGGATTGGGAATTCAGTGACGTAGAGGACTGACCTCTCCTTAACCAAGTTTCAGTCAGGTTCCTCTGAACCCTCTTCTGGACTAGGTCCTGACCTTGACTGCTTCCCCGCCCCCTCCCCCCATCCTTGCTGGGCCTGCCCAGCCCAATTTAGAGAGATATCTGATATCCTCTTTTTTAAATTAAAAATATATTTTATGTTTGTATTGATTTCAGAGAGGAAGGGAGAGGGAGAGCGATAGAAACATCAATGATGAGAGCATCATCAATGGGCTGCCTCCCGCAGGTCCCCGACTGGGGATTGTGCCCACAGCCAACTGGGAATCAAATCTCCACCTCCTGGTTCATAGGTAAATGCTCAATCACTGAGCCACACCGGCCAGGTGATAACTGATATTTTGATATCTGGTCACCCTGGCCTGTCTTCAGCAAGAATCCCGTTTAGTGTTTTTAGCTAGACTCCCCCTATTCAATGGTATTTCCTTGCAGTAACTTTCCATTTACTGGTCCCCTCATTCTGCTTGTTAAGTATAAATCCCCAGCTGTCTTTGCTGTGTTTGGGGGTTGAGCTTCACCTCTCTCCCTTATTATGATAGCCTTGACACCTATTGGCAATAGGTGTTCTGAATAAAGTTTTTCTTTCTTTTTTTTTTTTTTTTTAAAATATATATTATTGATTTTCTACAGAGAAGAAGGGAGAGGGACAGAGAGCTAGAAAAATCGATGAGAGAGATCGATCAGCTGCCTCCTGCACGCCCCCCAGTGGGGATGTGCCCGCAACCAAGGTACATGCCCCCGACCAAATCGAACCTGGGACCCCTGAGTCCGCAGGCCTATGCTCCATCCACTGAGCCAAACCGGTTCAGCTGAATAAAGTCTTTCTTATCATTTTAACAAACATCCAGTTAAGTTTTACTCAACAGGTCTACTAGATGAGGTGAACAGAAAACGGGAAGACTTGTTCTGGGAGCACAGGGACTCAACAGGTTCTGAAAATCAGGCATATTTTTGGGAAACACCAAGGCCTGTGGTTGGCCTTGGGCCAACGGGTCAGTCCGCTGGTGAGCGGCCTTGGGTGAAAGCTGGGCTGGCGGGGACAGGGGGAGGTGGCGGGGGCGGGGGGCAGGGCTAGGCCTGACAATTTTCAAGCCATGGATTATTTCTGGGTTCAGTGCTAATCAAGATTGGAGTCCATGAGCACTTGGGCCATGAGGACCTTGCGTGGGGGAGTTTGGCACTGCAATTCTTGCCAAACTGGGAGGTGCAGAAATGAAAGCAGTAGGCAGGAGGGGGCTTTCGGTGGGCTGTTGAGTCCTCATTCTGAAATGTCTGGGTCGTTTGGGGACAGCTCCTTAGGCCTCTAGAGTTCCCAGAAACCACAGGTGATGAACTTATTGAGGGGTGGACAGAGACTGTGTGCTGATTGTCATGTTCTAATTTGGAAAGAAAGAAATATAGAGCCCTAACCAGTCTGGCTCAGTGGATAGAGCGTCGGCCTGCAGACGGAAGGGTCCCAGGTTCAATTCTGGGGGTGTGCAGGAGGCAGCTGATCAATGTTTCTCTTTCATTGATGTTTCTAACTCTCTATCCCTCTCCCATCCTCTCTGTAAAAAAATCAATAAAATATATTTTTAAAAAAGAAAAGAAATATAGGAAGGAAGGAAGGAAGGAAGGAAGGAAGGAAGGAAGGAAGGAAGGAAGACTGCAGTTATTGGTAAGGACAAAGTCTAGATATGACTAACCATTGGGTAGGGTGAAGGTAAGATCTATGAGGAAATGGAATTTATTTTTTTAAATATATTTTTATTGATTTCAGAGAGGGAGAGAGAGATAGAAACATCAATGATGAGAGAGAATCACTGATTTGCTACCTCCTGCATGCCCCCCACTGGGGATTGAGCCCACAACCAGGGCACGTGCCCTTGGCCAGAATCGAACCTGGGACCCTTCAGTCCGCAGGCCGACGCTGTATCCACTGAGCCAAACCAGCTAGGGCGGAAGTGGAATTTAAGTAACTGCCAGGCCAGGGTGTTGGAAGTCTCATCAGTGTGGATACTGAAATCAGCAAACACGGTGGCAGGGGTGGTGTTGGTGAGATCCAGGAGTCACACTCTGTGTTGTGGGCAGCAGAGATGACCCCTGACATGCCACAGTTTAACTGCTCATGAGACCTCTCCCTGGCCACATTTCGGCTGGTTTGAGCCCCTTCCTCTCCTAAGTAAATGTTGCAGATAATATAAAGCCAAAGACGAGTGGGAGGAAAAGTGGTCATTTCCTTAGGCTCAAATGACAGTGTAACCATAAAGGAAAGTTAGGAATTTATTACTGAAGCTCTCGAAGCTTCAATTTCCTAATGAAAAATGGAAATAATAGCAGTACCTACTTACCTCACAGAATGGTGATGCATATTTAATGAGGTACTGCATGCAAATGATAACATTGAACATGTCAGCATTGTTCTCAAGTGCCTATTAGTTCGTTTAACTCTCATAGTAACCTTATGTGGGAGATTTTAGTTAATCCCCAGTTTACAGATGAAAAACGTTGCCAGGTGGTGATGTTGCCGGTACCTGGAGAGAATGAAAAGGGGGGTCCTAACTCCCGGAGGCTCACAAATCCTCCAATTTCTGCTAGAGGGGAGAGCACCCTATCCCCATGAAAGTAGGCACAAAAGCAGGCGGCGGGCGGAGAGGACCGAGTATGGCCTGCGCGGCAATGGCGCCCTCCGGTGGCGGAAGTAAAAAGCGCAGCCGGTGGGCTGGATCGGGCGCTAGCGAAGGGCACGGGGGGGGGGGGGGGGGTGAGTAATGAGGCCAGGACCCGACCGACATTCCGGAGATCCGAGAGGCTGGAGTAGGACCCCCGAAGGCATAGACCGACGAGGCCCCGCGTTCCTGGCGACAAACCTAGGCCAGGTGTCGCGACCCCGCCCACCTGCAGGTTATCGGCAGCCGTAACCGCACGCCCCTTCCAGCGGCGGCTCTTCCGGACGCCTCCGAGCTCGGAGTGGGATCCTGCTCGGGCGACGGGAGCTGGTTTGCATCAGGGCGATGGGTGCTGTAGGAGCCCAGGCCTACACCCAGCAGGAGCCGCGCGCCGGAGGGGCAACCCAGGTCACATCCCGGGTGCACGTGGAGAGGGAGACGCGCTGGCCAAAGGAGCCCAGAAGGGGCGGGGCTTCTCAGGACGCGCCCACGGGGCGGGGCCGGGCCCGGGGACCAATGGGCGCGTGTGCGGGGGGGGGGGGGCAGGCTCCCGGCCTGGCATCCCGGTAGCCGCAGCTGTCTTTTCCGGCATTCGTCCCCCCTCCGCGCGTAGCGGACCCCTCTGGCTCTCGGGGATCCCCCCGAGCAGCTGCATCCTCTGGGTGGGTGAGTGAGCGCTCTGCCGCACCCGGGCTGTGGGGGTGCTCATGGCCGGGGAGAAGGTGCATCGCGGCCCCCTCCTACCCGCCCCGGGAGAAAGTGGGCAGGAACCGGTGGGGGAAGGAGGATCCACCTTGCGTTGCCTGCCCGTGTTTCTGTTTTGGTGGTCGATGAGTGTATTTGGAGGGTGCCTCCTGTGGTGAGAAGCATCTGATGGGGCCAAGGAGAAGAGGAGCTGGTTTAAGATGGGTCGAGGAAGAGGGTTGACGGAGGGTGGGGCGTGGGATGGTTTGGAAGTTTCTTATTGACGTTAGGTTAGGCGACTGCAGGGGAGGGGGTCGTCTCAGAACTGCGGAGGAGGGGGTGAGGAGGGCTTCCTGCCCGTAACTCACTTCCCTTTTGGGGGATTTGCTTCCTCTTCTATGGCTAGCTAAGAAGGAAGAGAATCTCTGCCCCTTTCCAGAACCACTGTCATCTCTAGTCTCAGGGATATGGGGGAAGGTGTGGCCCTCAAAAGCTGAAAGGGGCCTTGATACTCAAACCCTGCCATTGTTGGGGCAGTGGCCAGGGCCCCCCACTAATTCTTTATGTATATATGTTTCCTTGCAGCTCTCCCTTTGGGTGTAAGGCATCTGGGTGTTTGCTTAGAGGGTGTATTTTTGGGGGGCAGAGAGGGCTCAGTGGAGCTGCTCTCCATTCAGCACACTCTCTTGTGCAGGTCTCATAATCCGTGGCTGGCCTCCTCTACCTGCTCGCAGCCATGGCCAGTGAAAACTCCCCTTTGCTGGCCTACCGGCTCCTGGGGGAGGAGGGGGTTGCCTTCCCTGCCAGTGGGGCTGGAGGACCTGGAGGTGAATCTGCCCGGAAGCTCTCCACCTTCCTGGGTGTGGTGGTGCCCACGGTACTGTCCATGTTCAGTATAGTTGTCTTCCTGAGGATTGGTGAGTGGACGTGGGGAGGGGCTTACAGGGGGTGAAGTGGGGAGCAGGGGGTGTGGGATGAGGTTGTGGAAGGGCTGGAGGTAACTGAAGACCAGTGGGTGAGGGGTGGTGGGGGTGGGAATGAGCGCCCTCTGACCTGCTTTGCCCCTCATGTTCCAGGGTTCGTGGTGGGCCATGCCGGGCTGCTGCAGGCTTTGGCCATGCTCCTGGTTGCCTACTTCATCCTGGCGCTCACTGTCCTCTCTGTCTGTGCCATTGCCACCAACGGAGCTGTTCGGGGCGGTGGAGCCTATTGTATCCTCCAGTGTTGATGGACTTGGGGTCTGGGCTCTTCCATCTTGTAGGGAGGAGGCAGGGGTCACTCCCCCCATCCCTTGGGGGGCAGGGCAAGAGGAAGCAAGCTCTAATGAATGTTCTGGAGGCAGGCTGAAATGGGGAAGGTGACCAACATGGCTTTACATGTTAGTGCCACCTTCTAGTCCACCAGGTATCTTCCAGCTGTCATTTTGGTCCTCCTAACATTCTTGTTGATTAGATTGCATTCATGTTACAGGGGAGGAAACTGGAATTCAAGAGCACCAGGAACTTGTGTGAAGCCACAAGGCTTGGAATTGGCTGTGCCCTGGGAACACATGTAGATAGACCAGACTGTAGGGTCAGCTGCAGAATGCTCTGTGCCAGGGCCCTTCCTCATGCTCCTTTTCCCTTAACACTCACTCCCTGTTTCCACTTTTAGTCATGATCAGCCGGACCCTGGGACCTGAGGTTGGAGGCAGCATCGGCCTCATGTTCTACCTGGCTAATGTCTGTGGCTGTGCTGTCTCCCTGTTGGGGCTGGTGGAGTCCATGCTTGATGTCTTCGGGGCAGGTCTGTTCTCCCCACCCTTGTCATGGAAGCTCTGTGGGTTTGCAGGGTCTGGGATGCTGGAATTGTAAGGAAAAGAGGCCCTTCCCAGGAGAGGGGCGAAGTGCCCCATTAGCTTGTCTTTCTTGAGGTTTTACCGTGTGCCCAGCCATGTGTAGATGTCCAAGAGACTGTCCTGGCCCACAGGGAGCTTACCATCCAGTCTCAGAGGCCAGCTAATACCCCTAAAATCGACTGCAAGATTAGTGGTACACACCAGGCAGGGCTTGGATGCTGGGATTCAGTTTAGTGAGGGAATAGGGAAGGTGGCCTGAGGATAGGTGGGCCAAAGTGGGGGTGGGGGTGGGGGTGGGGTGGGGAGGGTCTATTCCTGCTTTGTGTCATGGTTAGGGTCCCTTCAAGGGGCCTGGCCTTCTAACTCTGTTTCTTCCTCTGCAGATGCCACAGGGTCCAGTGGGCTCCGGGTCCTGCCCCAGGGCTACGGCTGGAGTTTGCTTTATGGCACCCTGCTTCTGGGCCTGGTGGGTGGGGTCTGCACGCTGGGGGCTGGCCTCTATGCCCGTGCCTCCTTCCTCACATTCCTGCTGGTCTCCGGTTCCCTGGCCTCAGTGCTGGTCAGCTTTGTGGCTGTGGGGCCCAGGGTCATCCAGTTGACCCCTCGGCCTGGCCCCAATGGCTCCTCCCTGCCACCCCAGGTTGGCCACTTCACCGGCTTCAATAGCAGCACCCTGAAGGCCAACTTGGGCGGTGAGCTGGGCTCATGGGTGCTGGGGCAGGCATGTGTGGGAGCTGGGCCCTTGGAATCCCTGCATGAGAACAGATGTCATAGCGAATTGGGGGCAGGAGACTGGGCCTCGGAGCAGAGCAGTTTAAATAAGATCTGTTTGGTGTGGGTTGGCTGCTGTGTGTCTGGCCCAGCAGGCCGCAAGAGGTGACCGCAAGACAGTCACTGCCTTAGAGGAACTTGTTTAGTTGGAGAGATAAGATGCACATTCAGGAAACAATTAAGTAGCATAATAGACTGCATGTGATTCAAGTAGACAAGAATCACAGAGGAGTCAAGAGGAGTCAGATGGGAGTATGGGCTGGGGAGGTGGGAGTAGGCGGAGCTGGAGGTGGCCCGAGGTAGGCTGGGGAATTCAGGTAGGTGCGGGAAGGAAGGTGTCTCGGGAAAGAGTATAGATGAGGCCTGGAGGGAGGAACTGTGTACACAGGAGTAGGAGGTGATGAGGAGCTGAGCCAGGCCATGATGGGTCAGGGGTAGGGTCTTGGTGAGTTTGGTGGGGGAAATGGGGTTGTGGAATGTGAGGAATGGGTGGCAGGGCCGAGATGCCTGGATCACAGAGAGATGGTAACACCTCCTCCCTGGGAACAATCCTTCCTCAGCTGGCTACGCAAAGGACTACACCACAGGGGCCATGATGACCTTTGCCAGCGTTTTTGCCGTTCTTTTTAATGGCTGCACAGGCATCATGGCTGGCGCCAACATGTCTGGTGAGAGTCCCTGCCTACTGCCTCTTGGGGGTGGGGGCTGCCACCCTGGGCCCCTACCTGGGTACTGAGGACTCAGGGATGTAGGGGATGGTGGAAGGCTGATCTTCCTCCCTCTGCCCCCCTCCCTCCAGGCGAGCTGAAGGACCCCAGCCGGGCGATTCCTCTGGGCACCATTGTAGCTGTCGCCTACACCTTTTTCATCTACATCCTGCTTTTCTTCCTCTCCAGTTTTACCTGTGACAGGTGCCTGGGGAGGGGGTGAGCCCTGCCCTCTAGGGAGTGAAGGGGTTGTTGGGACAAGGTTGATGCACCGGGATCACCAAAGAGAGCACAGGCTGGAGCACAAGTTGTTGGGGTAAAGGGGAAAATGGGAACTGTTTCTCCCAAGGGAGAGAGAGAGAGAGAGAGAGAGCTGCTGCAGCTGCCAATGGGAGGGTTGGCTAAGTGATAGATAACCCGCAGCCAGCATTTGCCATGTGCCTGGTACTGTTATAAGCACTTGGTTTGAGGGTGGGGAATGACTTTCTAGTCAAATTCCATAAACAGTTGGCTCCTTGTTCATATACTGCTGGGAATGTCTGTCCAAAGCAGCCCAACAAGAACCCATGAATGTCAAGTCCGTCCCCCTGGCACACTTGATCTGTTACTGTGGTCCCTGAGATAGGAGCTGGATCAGTTGAGAACAGTGACCTCTTAACCTCACACAATGTGGTGGGTGCTTTTCTCACAAGGACCCCAGGTGGCTGCACATTTCTTTTCCATGTCTTCCTCTTTCCCTTCCTGAAGGATCCTGCTGCAGGAGGATTATGGGTTCTTTCGTGCCATCAGCCTGTGGCCCCCACTGGTGTTGATTGGCATCTATGCCACATCAATCTCAGCCTCCATGAGCTCCCTTATTGGTGCCTCCCGCATCCTCCACGCCCTGGCCCAGGACGACCTCTTTGGTGCGCTGTCCCCTGCCTCCTTGCCCAGCTCTGAGCATGCCCTCTGTGTCTGTCTCAGTCTGTGCTTGGCCCAGGCTAATGTGCTGCTGCATTTCTGTTTGCACAGGAATGATCTTGGCACCAGCCAAGGTGGTATCCCAAGGGGGGAACCCCTGGGGGGCTGTGCTCTATTCATGGGGCCTAGTCCAGGTAAGCCTTTCTCTTTAATCTGCCCTTCCCCTCACCCTAGGCCCTCTCCGGGTATGCTTGCAGGATCAGGAGGAGCTAAGTTGTGGGCTGGGAGATATAAACGACAAGGCAGGATGCATTGGCATTTGGTGGGGAGTAGCTCAAATGCCCAGCCTTTTGGTCCTTGTCCAGCTGGTGCTCCTAGTTGGGAAGCTGAACACACTGGCTGCTGTGGTTACTGTCTTCTACTTGGTGGCCTATGCTGCAGTGGACCTGTCCTGCCTGAGCCTGGAGTGGGCCTCAGCCCCCAACTTCCGGTGAGACAATGCCTGTGTCCCCTGAAAAAGAGGATGAATAGGAAGGACTCAGACCAAGGGGGGTAAACCTGGGAATGGAATGGAGTGGCCTGGTGTTCAGGGCTGGCCCTGAGTGTCCTTCCTTCTCTCTGTCCACCTGCAGCCCCACCTTCAGCCTGTTCTCCTGGCACACCTGCTTGCTGGGGGTAGCCTCCTGCCTGCTCATGATGTTTCTCATCAGCCCCGGGGCTGCAGGTGGCTCCCTGCTGCTCATGGGCCTGCTTTGTGGCCTGCTCACAGCTCGAGGCGGCCCCAGCAGCTGGGGCTACGTCAGCCAGGCCTTGCTTTTTCACCAGGTTGGGGGATCTCCGAGGAGGGTGGGAAGGGGAGGAGGCAGTCTGGGAAAGCCCACCCTACAAAGAGGCTTCCTCTTCCCTAGACTAGAGTTGGGGTTCCTGTCTGGTAGGTGTCGAGTAGGGGTTGCCCAATTGAGCCCTTCCTCCCCACCACCTCACCCTGTCCCCAGGTCCGTAAATACCTGCTTCGCCTGGACGTGCGGAAGGATCATGTGAAATTCTGGAGACCCCAGCTGCTGCTCCTGGTGGGGAACCCCCGGGGCGCCCTGCCTCTGCTTCGGTTGGCCAACCAGCTCAAGAAGGGAGGCCTCTATGTGCTGGGCCACGTCACGCTGGGAGACCTTGGTGAGTTGCCCGCCACTTCTCCTTTGCTTCTTGTCTCAGACGTTCTTGTTATTCTTTGCGTCCCAGAGGCCTCATGCTTCTTCCCAGATGACCCTTCCATCCAGCACACAGCCCTGCCCGCACTTTTCCTTCTGCGTACTTGGGGCTTGGACTCTAGGAGAAAGAACCTGAGCTTGGCCCACATTTGCTGCCTTCCTTCTTCGTAGACTGCCTGCCCTCGGACCCTGTGCAGCCACAGTATGGGGCGTGGCTGAGCCTTGTGGACCGGGCCCAAGTGAAAGCCTTTGTGGACCTCACCCTCTCACCCTCTGTGCGCCAGGGGGCTCAGCATCTGCTGCGGATCTCAGGCCTTGGTGAGCTGCTCCTCCCTGGATCCCCTCTGACCCCTCTGTGGCCCTTGTCAGTCTCTGCTTCCCTCCCCTCCACCACCCGAGAGAGTAAACTACAGACTGCAAACCCCAAAACGAACCCACAATCTAATGCAGATAAGATGTGGCACTCAAAGATAATAAGACAGTATGTGATCAGGTCTTGGAATAGATGCTTAAGGACTAAACACATTATTTTTTTCTGATCCAAAAATTGGGGCACAGGCTCTGAAAACAGAGCCTGTATTTGTATTTCTGGGGACAAAGGGAGTATTATCTGAAGCTGGGGCTGCCCCATCAAATCTGTGACAGATGGTTTCTAACCACCCGAGTTCAAAGAAAGGAAGACCAGTGGGCACTTTTGTGGCCTGCAAAGGGTTTTTAATGAGATAGTATCTCAGCTGGGCCTTGAAGGGGTGGAAAAGTAGGGAGGGCTGTAACACGGCCTCCACAAAGATTTGGAGGGCGTGTGGGGCTGATGCGTTTGGGTGGAAGATTCCCAGCTTGCGATTGTTGTAGTGCTGAGGCCTCTGGCCTTGCACCCCAGCTTCCTCCAAATCTGTGCTCAGCTGCCTCCTCTTTTCTTAATCTTGGGGCTGGCATCTGAGCCCTCTCTGAGTGCATGCTTCCTTCTCCACTTAGAATCTGGCTAAAGATCAAGTGTTGGACGTTGCCCTGTTGGGTGTAAGTCAGAACCCTGGAACATGCTCAAGAGGGGGTGTGACTAGTTTAAATTGTAAGATCAGCTAGAGTTCAGGGGTTGAGGTGTTGGGGATGCTATCAAGTGTATGAGATAGACCCTGGAGCATCTAAGGGCCCGGTCTCTTTTGCGGGGAAACCTGTGCCAAGCAAGAGACCTACTTTAAGGAAATTTACCCGCAGAAAATGATTCAAATAAAAGCAAAATGATTTCCTTTAAGTTTCCTTTAAACAAATTCTCCTGGCAACCCATTTGTTTCAAGAGAAAGGATCTTAGAAGAGGTCGCAGAGTCAGCCCTTTTAAAGGGGGGGTATTATCTGATTCCACATTGGTTGTTCAAAAATAAAAAACCAGGAGCCGTTGGCAGGGACTTGGGGCACTGTGGTTGGTGCACACACCGGCCCAGTGGCTCAGAGAATGGGCTCTGGTGCTGAGTGCATTGTGTTTACCTGCCACCCCTGTACCTGCCAGCCGTGAATCTTTGGGCAGGTGACTTCACCGCCCTGTGCCTCAGTGTCCTTATCTGTAAAAGGGAGTGAGTAAATAGTCCCTATGAAATTGCATTGCTTCAAGGATTAATGAGTTAGATAAAACACAAAGTGCTTTCAACAGGATATGGCCCCTGGTTAGCATGCAGATGGTAGCGGTCCCTTTCCCAGGGATCATGCTTTGGACATGCCATCATTAGGGAAACAGATTGTGCAGCACCGAGTCCTCCCGCAGCGGAGTCTGCAAGCTGTTTCCCTGGATATCGAGGCCATCAGCTTGACTAATCAGGGGTCTGGCCCGCCCAGAGGAGTCAGACGCTCATTGCCCATCATGAAAAATGTGTGTTGCTAGAAGCTTGGAGTGAATACATTTTACTGCCACTGAAAGTGCGCGTTAGTTAAAAGAGTCTTAAGGTGAAACTTAGCTTATTTATTTATTTATTTATTTATTTATTTATTTATTTATTTTTAAAGGGGAGAATGATGATTTTTATTTTTTTAAAATATATTTTGATTTTTTTAGAGAGAGGAAGGGAGAGGGATAGAGAGTTAGAAACATCGATGAGAGAGAAACATCCATCAGCTGCCTCCTGCACACTCCCTACTGGGGATGTGCCCGCCACCAAGGTACATGCCCTTGATCAGACTGGAACCTGGGACCCTTGAGTCCGAAGACTGACGCTCTATCCACTGAGCCAAACCGGTTAGGGCAAAACTTAGCCTATTTAAATGGGGGGATTAGTCATGGAGATGAATCAAATAAATGCATGAGAAAGTGTTTGGGGAAACTAAAACTCATTATGCAAACCTGCATAATGTTGCCCTAAGAACCCAAGCACAGTACAAACAAATGTCACACCTGATGTTGCCATCAGCATACATGAGTGGATGCGTATAGTGTGGTATAAACTCAGCTGGTGAGTCTGATTCCTGTTGTTTTCTTCCTATCTCCCCCTATCTGCCCCCAGGTGGCATGAAGCCCAACACCTTGGTCCTGGGTTTCTACGATGATGCTGTACCCCAGGATCACTTCCTGACAGACCCGGCTTTTTCTGAGCCTGCTAATGGTACCCAGGAGGGCGGGTCCCCAGCCCTGAGTACCCTGTTCCCTCCACCCCGGGCTCCTGGGAGCCCCCGAGCTCTAAGTCCTCAGGACTACGTGGCCACAGTGGTAGACGCCCTCAAGATGAACAAGAATGTGGTTCTGGCAAGAGCCTGTGGGGCCCTGCCCCCTGAGCGTCTGAGCCGGGGGTCCGGCAGTACCTCTCAGCAGCATCATGTGGATGTGTGGCCCCTCAACCTGCTGCGGCCTCGGGGTGGCCCTGGCTATGTGGACGTCTGTGGCCTCTTCCTGCTGCAGATGGCAACCATCTTGGGCATGGTACCTGCTTGGCACAGTGCCCGGCTCCGGATCTTCTTGTGCCTTGGGCCTCAAGAGGCCCCTGGGGCGGCTGAGGAGCGTCTCCGGGCCCTGCTGAGCCAGCTGCGGATCCGGGCGGAGGTGCAGGAGGTGGTGTGGGGTGACGGGGCTGGGTCCGGACAGCCCGAGGAGGAGGAGGAAGGGGACTTTGTGAACAGCAGGCGGGGAGACTCCGAGGCAGAGGCCCTGGCCTGCAGTGCCAATTGCCTGGTTCGGGCCCAGCAAGGGCGCGGCAGAGGAGGGCCTGGTGGGCCTGAGGGTGGGGATGGTGAGGAGGGGCCCACCACCGCTCTCACCTTTCTGTACTTGCCGCGGCCACCTGCTGATCCTGCCCGGTACCCCCACTACCTGGCCCTGCTGGAGATTCTGAGCCGGGATCTGGGCCCCACGCTGCTCATTCATGGTGTCACCCCTGTCACTTGCACTGATCTCTGATGCCTTGTTGCTGAAGTAGAGTGTCTTGGCTGGCAGCCCCCCTTCATAGCAGATGAGGAGGGAAGGGCTGCCTCCTGCCTGCCCTGAACATGGGACACATGGCCAGGGGGAGGTACTAGGGGGTCCTGGGCTAGGGCAGCTCTAGATCTCTAGGAGCGGGGGCCCTGACGCACTGATGAATGCAGGGCAGCCCTCCCTGCCCAGCCAGGGGGAGGGGGAGTCAGCTCTGCCCCCTCCTTCTCCACACCGGTGCCTTGATGGGGGCTAGGTCTCTGCTTGAGACTCTAGGCTACCTCAGTCTCCCCCTCACCTGACAGACTCGCTGACCCCGAGGTTGTGATGTTTTTGTTCTGTTTTATTTTTCTAACTGCTGAACCGAATAAAAGACCTAAACACTACTGTGGCTCAACACTGCTGGCGGGGGTGGGGGTGGGGTAGGGGGGACAGGAAGAGGGAGAGGTCTGTATGGCCGGGATGGGGGAGAGAGGAGCGCTGGGGTGTCCCAGGGGCGAGGAGGCCACGTGCAGGGCTGGCGGAGGCAGCCCGGGGAGGCTCGTGGCCACGGAGGCTGCCCGCAGCCCCCAGACCCGGGCTCCAGCGAAAGCCCTGCCTCCTGGGCAGCAGGGGGCCGGCTCCGGGGGAGGGGGAGGGGGGTAAGAGGGGGGGAGACGCCGTTTAGAGCCCGGGGGGGCCACGTGACCCTCCCCCAGGAATGCGCTTGCGTCACCGGGGGCGTGGCCTTCCCTCAATTAGGGAGGAAGGGGGGTGAGAAAGCCAGAAAAAGTTTCTTTCCCGGAGTCCCAAACGGGGTGTGTGACGGAAGGAGGGAGACAGGCCAGGGGCCCGGGGCTCCGTGGGACCCTGATCGCTGTGCGCAGCCCCCGTTCCAGGCCATGTCGGGGCCCACCTGGCTCCCCCCCAGGCAGCCAGAGCCCCCCCGAACCCCTCAGGGGCGAGCTCTCCCCCGAGGCGCGCCGGGGCCGCCGCCAGCCCACGGAGCGGGTAAGGCAGCGCGAGGGCACCCCGCGAGCCGGCTCCCGCCGCCCCTTCCCCAAGCGGGGCTGGGACCAGGGACCCCTGCCCTCGCGGCGGCCGTCCGGTCCCACTCTCCGATCCCGGGTGTGGGTGTGGGTGTGGGTGGGAGGAGAAGAGGGACCGAGAGGGCACCTCCACCAGTGTCACCTTCGCCCCTTCCCCATCTCCATCTTCACTCTGCTTTAACTCATCCCAGCGCTCCAGCCCCACCCCAGGGTCAATTTTTGCCCCGTCCCGGCTGAGCAGTGTTACCAGGCCCCTGGGGGATTGGAGGATCGCGGGCCGGCCTGGGTGGGGTGCCGTGGAGCACCCCCGCGCTCGCAGGTAAGAACCAGATTTGGGGAGGGGTGCATAGCGCCCTGGGCAGGAGGGGAGGCCATGTGATGTGCATTCTCCCTGCTTTTGCTCTATCCCCAGGGACTCCCCCCAGACCGGGGCCGGCTGCACCCAGGAAGTCTGGATGCCGAGATAGATTCCCTCACTAACATGTTGGCTGAGCTGGATGGGGGTCGAGGTCATGCCCCAAGGCGGCCTGACCGGCAGGTGAGCCCCCATTCCTCCCCTGTCCCTTCTCCCTTGCCCCCCTTCCCTCACCCCAATCTCTGTCTTCCCTGTGCGCCCAGCACACCCCACTTCCCCCCTCTATGTGAGTGATGCACACACCCGCCCAGGAGCTGGGCCACCAGAGCTTAGTGGGTTGTCAGCCACTCCGGGGTGGGCCCTTGTCAGAAACCAGCCCTTCCCTGGGTGACACACACGCGGGTGGGGGTGGGTTTCCACAGATGCGTGTCCTGTAATGACCTGCTCACTCCTTTTGGTCTGCATTTCTCCCCAGGTCTATGAGCCCCCTCAGCCCCCTGCCTACCGCCCTGGCGCAGGCTCCCTGAAGCTGAATGGAGGGGGTGTTCCTCCCCCGCTGCTCCCAGCATCCCCCTATGGGGGCCCCACTCCAGCCTCCTATGCTACAGCCAGCACTCCTGCTGGCCCTGCCTTTCCTGTGCAAGTGAAGGTGGCACAGCCAGTGAGAGGCTGTGGCCCTCCAAGGGGGGGACCCTCTCAGGCCTCAGGGCCCCTGCTGGGCCCCCACTATCCTCTCCCAGGCCGAGGCGAAGTCTGGGGGGCTGGCTATAGGAGCCACCGAGAGCCAGGGCTTGGGAGTAAAGAGGAGGTCGCTGGGAGCTCCAGTCCCCTAGGAGGAGGAAGAGGAAGTGGGTACGGGCACCAGGTAAGCCCAGGGGAATGGGATTTGAAGTCCTCAGACTCTGGACGCTGATTGGGTCCGGTGGGGGTGGTGTTCTAAGTCCTGGTTGTCAGGGACGGGGAGTGTCAGAGCTCCGCACCTCCCCGCCTCCCCCCAGGGGTGTGGGGCAGGTCAGGAAATGTAGGAGGGAGGGGACCGGAGTCACACACTAGCTTTTCAAGTCATGCCCTCGGACCCTGAGATGTTCTCCAGTGAGCTTTCTGGGTGGCATTTCCTGGTCACCCACAGGTATTTTGACAGCATTGAAAGCTAGAGGTAGCGCCACAAACTCCTGATTCTCAACTCCCAGGGTCCCCTGAGCCAGCCTCCTGAGGAGGAGCTGGAAAGGCTGACCAAGAAGCTGGTGCATGACATGAGCCACCCGCCCAATGGGGAGTACTTCGGTGAGCTGAGTGTGAGGGTGGGTGGACAGGGTGGGGGACTGGAGAGTCAGAGGGACACCAGCTCTGGCTTCCTGGCCTATGCCGGCTGACCCTGTCCCTCCCTGTCCCCAGGCCGATGTGGGGGCTGCGGAGAAGACGTGGTTGGGGATGGGGCCGGGGTTGTCGCCCTGGACCGCGTCTTCCACGTTGGCTGCTTTGTGTGTTCCACCTGCCGTGCCCAGCTCCGGGGCCAGCATTTCTACGCCGTGGAGAGGAGGGCGTATTGTGAGAGCTGCTACGTGGTGAGTGGTTGGGACTGGGGGCTTCCATCCAAGGTGGAAACCGATGTCCACGAGGAACAGGCTCAGGCGGGGGACTGAAACTGATACACAAGAAGGGAGAAATTAGGCAGCTAAATAGTGGCTGCTGAAGGGGAAGGACAGAAGCCCCTTACAAATGTGAGGCATTTATTTTAGAGTCAAGGGAGTGTGTTGACCACAGCACACTGTAGGGCATAGATTGAAGGGAACTGAAGCTCAGAGAGGCTACTTAACTTGTCCCAAAAGTTGCAGTGATGAGTTTTGCACTCAGATCTGTTCAAAGCCACCTTTCGCTAAATCACATGCAGGGGGCTAAACAGATGGGTGGGCTGGCAGGATGCCTGTAGGGCTGCCCTGGTCCTCCGCAGACCCCAACCTTCCTGCCCTCCTTCCCAACAGGCCACCTTGGAGAAGTGCTCCAAATGCTCTCAACCCATCCTGGACCGGATCCTTCGGGCTATGGGGAAGGCTTACCACCCTGGCTGCTTCACCTGCGTGGTGTGCCACCGGGGACTTGATGGCATTCCGTTCACGGTGGATGCCACCAGCCAGATCCACTGCATTGAGGACTTCCACAGGTCAGGCTAGGTCCCCCCCCACCTTTGTCTCAGGATGTCTGCCTTTCCTATCTTTCTCATTTCTTCACGTCCCAGTACCAGCTCCTTCTGTTTCCCACCCTTGCCATGCCTTGTTCTGGTTAACATTGCTTTCTTCCCTAAGATCCAAGACCATACCTCTGGCCTGTCCTCTTCTCTCCTGCATCCCACCTTCTCTGGGCTCCGTTGTTAGTCTCCTCCAACCCTGGGGCTTGACAACCCCCTTGGCTCTCTTGTACCCCAGGAAGTTTGCTCCACGATGTTCAGTGTGTGGTGGGGCCATCATGCCTGAGCCCGGGCAGGAGGAGACTGTGCGAATTGTTGCTCTGGATCGCAGTTTTCACATCGGCTGTTACAAGTGTGAGGTGAGGGGGCCTGGACCAGGGGAAAAGGGGTTCTTGGGGTCTGGGCTCGCTGGGTATAGTAGGACCCAGAGGTCTTGGCCTGGTGGAAAGCTGTTGCTTCTTTCTTAACAGGAGTGTGGGTTGCTGCTCTCCTCTGAGGGTGAATGTCAGGGCTGCTACCCCCTTGATGGGCACATCTTGTGCAAGGCCTGCAGTGCCTGGCGTATCCAGGAGCTCTCAGCCACCGTCACCACTGACTGCTGAGTCTTCCCAGAAGCACCTGCTGCATTCTCCCTTCCCATCTACCACCTTCCTTGACATCTACGTTTACAACTCTGCCATCAAGTACTGTCTCCTCTTCCTCCAATCATGAAATAATAATCTCGCAAGAGTTTACAAGACACTTTCAAGTCTATTGTCTCATCTGATTCTCACAGCAGCCCAACGAGGCATAATTGTTGTGGCTGCATTTTTACCTGAGAAGTGACTTCCCCAGACTGCTGGTTACCAAGTGGCAGAATCTAGGTCTTCTAAGCTCTGGTCCAATTTAAAAAAAATGTTTTTATTGACTTTAGCGAGGAAGGGATAGGTATGGAGAGATAGAAACATCGATGGGCTGCCTCTTGCACGCCACCTACTGGGGATTGAGCCTGAAACCTGGGCTTGTGCCCTGACCAGGAATCCAGCCAGTGACCTCTGGGTTCATGGGTTGACACTCAACCACTGAGCCACACTGGCCGGGCCCTGGTCCAATTTTTTGCAACTCTGCTACAGTCAGCCCTCTATATCCCTGGGTTGAATCAACTGAGGATAGAAACTATTCTGAAAAAAAGTTACAGTTAGCCTGGTTGGTGTACCTATGAATCAGGTCATGGTTCAAATTCCCAGTCAGGGTACATGCCCGGGTTGCAGGCTCGATCCCCAGTGGGGGTATACAGGAGGCAACCAATCAATGATTCTCTCTCATCATTGATGTTTCTATCTCTCTTTCCCTCTTCCTTCCTCTCTGAAATCAATAAAATATATTTTTAAAAACAGTTACATTTAGCTAATATGTACTCTGTGGTTAGGGCTACTATGGTTGCATCTGGTACTGAACATGTAGAGTTTTTTCCCTTGTTATTATTCCCTAAACAGTACAGTATAAAAACTATATACATAGCATTTACATTGTATTAGGCATTATACATAATCTAGAGATGACTTAAAGTATATAGAAGGATGTGTACAGGTTATATGCAAATACTATGCCATTTCATATAAGGGACTTAAGCATCTGAAGATTTTGGTACCCCGGGGGTCCTGAAATCGATTCCCTGCAGATACCAAAGTATACCAAGGGATGACTGAATACACTTAAAAAAAAAAAAAAAAAAAAATATATATATATATATATATATATATATATATATATTGATTTCAAAGAGAGGAAGGGAGAGGGAGAGAGAGAGAAATATCAATGATGAGAGAATCATTGATC